CATCGAGTCTCTTTCAACTGAAACTAGTTGACAATTTTTAGAAGCCGGAGCTGCAGAAACTCCAAGAAGTCTAAACTTACCTCCTTCCATTTCCCAAGTTTTTGAACCACGCATGCGTTGAAGAGTACTTTTCGGCTCCTGTCTGTTGTAGGCCTCCTGACTCACACATTAGCTGCGCATCTGAAAGAGTATAGCTATTCGGAGCTATTCATGTCAAAACTATATACTCCGGGGAAAAACAACATAGGCCGTAACTCAATTTCAAGTGCGCTTTAACGTGGACCACTGGAAACGGTGACTTCCTGGGGAAACGGTATTAGCACCTTTTTTGGCAATTTCTGGACTAACATGGACCGTTTCTACTCTCAATCTATGATCGATTCTGACACTAACATGGACCAACTGCACTCTGACTATAAACTGAACGCAGGCTAACATAGACCGCGCCGGTAGAGATCAACATGGCCCGGTGGAGGCTAACATGGACCAGTCACATACCCGTAGGGCCCACCATGGCACATCTGAATTTGGTCTAGGTTAGTCTCAACGGTGCCCGCTCGGAAACTAGACTAACATATGCCAAAAAAAAATTGGCCAAAATGTTAGTTTTCACCGGTGTAACAAAGAGGGTAACTTGGATTTGCTTCAGGAACTGGGACAATTCAACGCATTCCCTAGAAGGGACTCACCAGTAGGGAATCCTTTCTTGGGCGAATCCCGGTGTGCTTCTTGCAAACGTCGGTGTGCAAGAAAACCGTTTCGTTTGAACACCCGGTACTTTGCCCAGACTGTTTCTTTTTTTGAGCCTGCCAACAGCCTCAGACACTGTGAACAAACAGCCAAACGACACTGCGACCAGTGGAGCCAACTGGACCAATTGGGGTTAAGTCACTTCTGGTTCCACTCTCACCATCACAGCTGGACTTTTTGTGCGTTTGAGCATCTTTGAACGCTCAAAGAATGGCCGTTCGTGGTGCCGTCTGAGAACAGTCGGCTCTCCCCACGCGCGACCGGCGTCCCAAAGGCTGCGGGCGTCCCAAAGGCTGAACGTCGGACATTTGAGGATTTCTCCCTAATGTTGACTCTTGACTGATACTACATTAGGGCTCCATCCAGTCGTATTTCTGAAAGAAGGCAGGGGAAGGAGCAAACGGCATTTACCCATCCTAAACACCTTCTCAGCAGGGGTCGTTGGTTAACTTCCAGAAAACCAACATGGATCAACCTACCGCGACGCCCGGTGCGGTTCTTGAAGTTGACTGAAAATCACTGAGGAGGAAATTCATCACACGCGACGCAGGAGACGCAAAACATGTACGGCAAGGATCTGTGTCCACCCTGCTCAATGGTCATAATTATAGAATTCAGTGACATTTGATTGGAACCTGTTGTCTTCAATGACACTTGTGCAAGCATACCAAATCTTTAAACACATGATAAACCACAACGCCAAAATAACTTTGACTTTGGTCCCTCTACTAGTGCGACGAGTGCATAGAATGAGCGTGGCTGGATCCATAAGTTTCATAGTGAGGGTTGTTTATTCCGTCATTCCCGGCTGAGTCGCCCAAGTACAGTTTCTTGCGAGCGAGACAGTGAACATCTGCAGGCAGGAGGCTGAGCGAGAGGTTGTTCATGGATTGTGATGGTAAGTCCAATCCCGTAGCCTTCAAGAGTACTCCACACAAAAGGATCGCTGAGATCGATGTGTGCCGAGATATCAGCAAGGATCGATGTGAACCACTTGCCATTCTAATGGTCATTGATTAGAAAGGGGACTACTGTATCTCTTCGTGTGTGCACAGTGTTCACAAGATTCGTTTGAAATGCTCAAGTCTATGCATCTGCCATGTCCTGCTTCGTCCAATGCCCCACCGCTAGAACGTATACCCTCTTTTGCCGCAAGACGGCCTCCAAACAAAACACGGCAGGGCAGCAACAAAATTCCTCCATAAAGTCTTTTCTGGGGGAAGTTGGTGATAGAACGCGCTTTTCCAAAGGTGCCCTTTTTTTTTCTACGAGATGACCCTCAAACAAAGCGCAGAAGGGCATAGAAATGAGTTTTCTATGAGGAGTGATGAGCCCATAAATGCGGCTTAAGGGTTTTCTTCTTCGGCCCTTGGCATCTAGATCTGTATAACCTAGTGTCTTTCGATACCTGATTTGGCAATTCATTTCAACCAGCGGGCGCCTTGCAAGATTCTTTTGAATGGTTCGAAGATGCATCTGCCATGTCCTGCTTTGTCAAGTGCCTTATTGTTAGAGCCCACTTTTCGGAGACCGAGCCGAGACGGCCCCCAAACAAGGCGCACCAACAAAGAACTCCTCGCTGAGGTCTTTTCTGGGAGAACTTGGCACATTTTTTCAACCCAAACATATCGAAGTCAAGGATGACTCTCTGCTGAGCCAAGTAGACGGAGCGGAGATGTTTGAAGTCAAGTTTGCCCATTTGGGTCTCGAGATGGCCTCCAAACACAAGGGCGCCACCCCAGAAAAGTGGCTTCTGCATGGATAAGTCATTGCTGCAGGAAGTGTTCTTTTTTGGCCTGACACGGGGCCTTGGCAGAGGCACAACGCAAAAGGGCACTAGCCCAGACATGCGGTCTAAGGGTTTTTCCTCGAGACCCTGCATCTAGATCTCTGCCAATAACTTCATGCGTGGCTTGACGCCACGCACTCAATACATGTCATCATACTGCAGCCGACAAATTGGCAAAGCACTCCGGGAGATCCCGTCATGCCCAGTCGATGACGCAAAAAACGCTAGCATCAACCGCTGCGACATCATTCGCATCACAAGGGCCCTCATTTTCGCTCTCCACCAGCAGGCTCTGGGTTCACCCTCCCAAACCTCCAAATTTTTAGCCACCCCACACCCCCTAAGACTAGTTTCGTTCGCCCAAGCAGAACCAAACAGAACTGCTCGCATTTATACATACACATGATTATATAAGATATATATATATAATATATGTATATCCACACACCTGTTGCATTTATATGATCTATATTATGGATCTATATGGTTGAAACAGATTGAAAAAGGTGGTCTTTCTGGGGCGGTCATCCATTCCAAACCGATCCATGTGGTTCTTCTTTTGGTTTTAATGGGAACATCCGAACGTCTCATCATCCCTTCCACTCATCGAACCATCGGCTCACATCGACTCACATTGGACTCACTGTCTCGCATCGAGAGCGGTCGATGCGAGACGGACTTAAAACCGGGCCCAGAACTCGACGGACGGCCCACCCCAGGACTCTGATGACGATCCGAGGTGAGAAATACCATGAAAGACCTGAGTTTTGGGGGGTCCCAAACTTGCAGGTTTTGGTTGGTGCCAACTCATCCAAACTCGTGGGTGAGTAAAACGTCCCTTCAAAACAGGACGATCCATACGCGTCTGGTTGAGCACGCCTTTTTGGACAGTGAGATGTTATTGTTTTTTGGTCAGTTTCTTCACGATTCATCATGATTCACTACCTCCCTTCACAATTCGACCACACGAGCGAACATTCGCGAAAGCTCATGAGCTCACGCGAAGGCTGCTCGCGCCCGACTGGTTTTTTTTGTTTGTTTTTGTTTTTCTGTCTTCGGGGAGGTGCTGTGCGGGGAGGTGCTTCTTGACAGGGGCGACCAGCAGAAAAGATAGTGAAGGACACGCCCATCAGTGTCCAATGCTGGTTCCTGGTGAAGACGGGACTTGTTGAACAGCATAGGACAAAGAAAACGTGACATGACCATACTCATCACCCCTTTAGACATCCTGACACATGAAGTTTCCAATTAAAAGCACGCAGGATTCTGCCAAGTACCAGTAGGTGATGGCAGCGAAATCGCTGATCGACGAGGCACAATATTCATCTTTATCAGTCTGTGGAGGTCACCTTATTTTTTCATACCGGTTTCCGGTCCATGTTCCCTGATTCTTTTTAATAAGGGAACTTGCAGGCTAACACCATATTCCGATATACCTCTCATCTAGAGTACAGCTCTAGATAAGGGGTGATGTTAATATTGAACAACAACTGGGAAAGACTATGCCTTCCCCTGAACTCTTGGACTGAAAGGCCAATCGCTATGCTTGGAAACTCCCGATATAGCCTGGGAAGACTGACTGGGCCACGAGTCTTGAGGGAGGTGTACCTGATCGACGGATGCTGGTTGGCATCCCAAGGTGCGTCGCTGCAATTGAACACTTGAGTCCTTTAGTCTCCGAAAGCATGGTTTCAATCTCGGGGCAGGCACAAAAGCTAGCCATGGCAGGCTCTATAGCATGGATGGGCGATCATGGGCAAGACTTGCCTTGACCCGCAAACGGGTTCTGACGGTGTCGAACGTGTCCTTTGGAGACGATCCACAATGGATTTTGATGATTCTCCCCGTAGCGCATCGATCTGCTCATCGAAGAACGCCCATCTGTGCGATCTACCGATGTGTATGTCGCTCTCATCCGGACGGCTCCTGTCAATGCGGTGGTTCCGGAGCTCGTGAATTGGCACTCGTGAAAAACACCCATCAGTTGGATTCAGTTGGATTGAATGAGCCAAGACACATTGGTGGGCTTCCAACTTGGAACCTATCAAGCTAGGTAGTTTTTGTCATTCTCCGTTCATTTTCTACAGGACACTACAGGTGGTCACCTTCTTCCAGCTTTCCCTCGTTACTTACGTAAGGTCCCTGGAGATTTGAAGTTTGCCTCTCATCAGGTTTCCATGTTTCCCTTGTTTCGCGACAAAATCCGCTTAGAGCCCCTCAAACAAAAGAGGCTACTATTGCTATTAATCCATTTAAGTCCATTCAGGAAAAGGGAATCAAACACACACTTTCTTTAGGACGTCATGCTCTTGAAACCGATCTTGCACCTCCAAAACGGCTCGAGCCATCTTTTTCGCCCCAGGTCCCCAGCTGTTTTTGGGGACGACTCGCAGCCGAACTCCCTCCCTCCCACGGCTCCTCGAGTCCGAAGAACGCTGTCAGCATCTGTCCGCTGTCCTTCTCAAGCCTCAGGCTCGAGCTCCTCCTGCCAAACCTGGCGCAAAGCTGCTCTTTCAAGACAGACCAAGAACTTTCAGAGACTCTACCGTGACTGGGTCAGAGACTGCGTTTCATCCGTTTCTGGAGGCGACCGCGACGCGGAACAGGTTGAATGTATTCTACCACCAGACCGGGCAATGGGAATGAGATCGATGGGGTGCCGTGCAGCGAAAAGTAGGGCAAAACCACCAAACATGAGGGCAGGAAGAAGCTTGTTCCACACCCAAACACTAGCAAATCCATGGGACTGGCATATTGACACCTCAGTTGGGGTGGTTGAAATCAACCCTGGGGTCTTGGTCCTCCAGAGACTTACCACGTCCGGACCTTCGCGAGTAAGCTCGACTCCGAAAAAGAGACCAACAAACCAGGGCGGCCAAACTTCTTGATTTGTTTGGGGTCTGGTTACGTGGATGACGCCACCTGGTGGGTGATTTCGTCATCCGAAATCAGGGCCATGCCATCCAGTTCCATGGATGATTTCAGGGAGTGGACCACCCCTCCAACAAACAAATTGAAGCTATTGAAGATGCATGAATTCTCATCCATGCTATTCAAAAAGAACAACAGGACTCCAGGACCAAAGGATTTGGACCAGTCCTGAATTTCGTAACCCGATGGCGAAGTCACGGACCCCGAATGGCTTGGCAGGATGGGGTCGTGGTCGTGCGGAGGCCTGGAGGCCTGGCCTCCACGCGGAAAAGACAACGACCCCCTGCCGGTTGGAGGCCAAATCAAATCAAGACCGGCTCCCATATTTCAAGAATACTCCAGGAGATGGTCAACAAAAAGATGTCATATAAACAATTGAGATACATGGTTGCACGATCAAGAAACACGTTACAGTAACACCTTGTTTGGGGGTACAACGGAGCTCCTAACCGTCTGACAACAGGCGATGGTCTGTCTGTCTCACCATGAATCTCACCACGCCGCGCGCCGCACGTCGCCAGGGCCTTGATGTTCCGATGGAGGAAGAGGCTGGCAGGGCGCGCCTTGCTATCCAGCAATGCCTCCATAGGCTTCCATAGCGGTTGGATTACCTCAGATCCCAGGAGGCTAGGTGACGGATCGAAGCCACATTTAGAACCCCTCAAGTGATTAGAGTTGCAATTGTTCAATCTTGTCTGCACGGCGTGTCTGAACTCATTTCCAGTAGGGGACTAGGGCTGCTTCGTGACTGGCCGAAAGAACGCCAGTCGACGGCGCCGACCGCCACCGAGTGGCGGACGAGCCTCGGCCCTTCCGCTTGAGATGGCAAACCGGTCACCCTGCAATTGGGCACAAGCACTGACACAAGCTTGTGCAAAGTCCTTTTAATGCATCAGTTGAGGGAAGCAGTCCAAGACTTTTGGCAAGAAGTTGGGAGACTTCTTGCTTTTCTTGGTCCATTTGCAGTAAGACAAGAACCACAGTTTCTCCCCTTTACAGCGGGGACGAACCACATTTCCTCGGCCATTCTTGCGGCAAGCACATCTGCAGGTAAACTAATAACGGAAACCATCGACAAGCAACACTGTAAGAGTAAAAACAATCTGAATAAAGCTGATGTTCCAATGGAATCCGCATTTCCAGTTGTTTCTACATGTTTCTACCTTCCAAGCACATGGTACCATGCAAACAACTCCTCATTGCATCGTAAAATCTGGACCCAAAACGAGACGGTTTTTCACTCTCATCAATGGGTTTGTACGATGTGTAGCCCCTTCTGCCGGTGTTTCCTGCTTTTGTTCCACCTCCTCGTCGAACTTCATTGGGTTCTCCCGTCCCGTCCGTGACCGGCCCGAATCGGTGCCATGTCCGTGCTTGCCGCCCAGGCGTCGAATTGCAAAAAGCCCAGCTGATTCTTTGGCAGAGGCGGTGCCTTGTCTCGATCAAACATCTCCTCAGCACCATGACGCACGTGCACGGAAGTGGATGGCACCTGTTCTTCGTGAAAATTCGTCTTCCTTTCGGGACCTATTTTCGTGCAGGTAACAATGTGATGTGTTCGTTCGAGTGTGCCCAAAGTCCAAAAAAAAACACCATGTCTATATCCTCCACAGCTCATGTCCCGGTCTCCCAGTCAGCCAAGTGGGCCAAGTCCGGACCAGGCCGACCCAGGACGGACCTTCGTGGACTTGCGATGCACAGGATATTGGTCAAATGTACATATGGTGTTCAGAACATGGTTATATATATATATGTATGTATATGTTCAGAAAGTGATATACATGTTCAAATGTTGGAGGGTATTGATATTGATCAATCAACGCAGCATGACATCCGTGATTTTTTTCTACAAATCGATCTAAAACCATCCCATGGGACGAGTTACATCCAGGAATCCATGATGGGTCATTTTTGTATCCCATTTTCAAAATGACCCATCCATGTAACTCTTCCAGTCCCAGTTGTCCAGACATGTCCAGACCGTGGAGTTGGTTTAATTTTAAAAAAAATGCACCTTTGATATCCTTTGATCACCCAAGGATGGAGGGTCTCTCGTTCTATCCGCCTCACCTGGAGTGGCACTGCTGACCTGGCCAGCCAGGCGGCCTCAAAGGTGAAAAGCCTTGCCTATCACTGAGATTGGCGGAACGTCTCGGAGACTGGAAATTCTCACACCGATCGTTCGGGCGAATCAACAAACCCTGACGCCCAGGTTCTAATTGCAAACCCAGCAAAACCATGGTCCTGAGAACCTCATGGCTTCGTGATTTTTACATGGACCCCCCAGGTCGAGTGCCTGGGCCCAACTCGCGCACCCGCCCTTCGTCGAACCGACCGAACTGAACCGATCTGCGTCGACTGCACTGACTGCACGCTTCCTTCCTCTGCGCTGACCAGACCTCATGCAGATGCAGACTCCACCCCGTACCGAACGCGTGCGCTTTCGGGTCAAACGGAGTGCTTTGCCGCTCAGCGGCGATCGGGGTGAAACCCAGTTCCTTCTCGCGATCACCTTGCGCCAGGAACTCCTCCTGAGTGGGAAACGGCGATGAGGAAATCTCGGCACTCAACTCTGTCAAGTTTTAGGCAACTCAGTGGCCGATTGTATTTTATGATAATTAGAATCACTATTTCTGCCCTTGTAGTCTTTGGAGACAGTGATGTGCTTGAAACATCTTGAAACAATGACGTACATATAAACACAAATCAATGTTAACCGTCGTGGTTTTCCAGGTGACCAGCCTTCCTTGAAACTTATGCAATTCCGCCGCTCCCAAAATTCACTCGTCTGGCCCAGACTCATTCACTCGTCTGGCCCATTCGTGGTGTTGTGGCACAGGCCGAAAGGGATGTCCCACATCCGCTGTGTGGACAATATACCTGCAGCGAGTCCCATGCGCGACAGCGCGTAGACCGCAGCGAACAAGACGACCATGCCGCAGCGAGAGAAAAAACCTCGCGAGCCGGCGACCGGGAGGAGGGGGGCAAGATGACCTTCCCATCATCTTTGCAGGTGACCTTCCCCTCCGGATGGCCCTCCTTCACCCTTGCAGCACCAAAAACCTCCGCAGGGGACCGGTGGAAGCAATCTGGTCTTTGGGAAGGCCATGTTGCATTCTTTTTCACTCCCCAAATGGGCCAAGAGCCTAAAGAGTTGTTGGAAACCAGGTGTTCATGTTCAGCGTTTCATGCAAACCCCACAAAGGAACTCCTTGATTAAGTGATCTTTGGAATAAAAGTAAATCTAACACCAAAATCCATTGCTGGGAGGGTCTGCCTCTTTCAAAGACCCACCCCATGCTCCAAGGTCTGATTCTCAAGCCCCTCTTTTCACCCGAGCCTTTCTGTTGGCACCGTTCCCTCAAAACCCCATGGCGCTTGCACTCGTGCGCGTGGCGCGCGTGGCGCGCGTGCCCCGTTCCAAGGCCGGCACTGCTCCAGCGTTCGTTTGTCAATCTCCTGGCGGTTCACGTTCCGCTCCACCAAGCGAACCATCTCCTGGGCGAATGTTCATCGGTCATTACATCGCGCGGAGTGTAGGCCCGGACGGAGCAAGTGATTCAGCCAGTGGTCACTGTCGGTCGCTGTAGAGTTGAAATCCAGGAATTGCCAGGAATCCAATGAAATCAATGGTTCCTTCCCTTCGGAAGGGTTCCTTGCTTCTCGTAACTGGGATCCACTGGCAAAGTTCTGTCGAGCATGATGGCGGCAGGGCCCCCAGCAATCCTACTTCTCCCACAGCGTGTTCATATGTGCACCCTTTTCATGCCTGTGTGTGGGTGCTATGGTTGATGGGGTTGATGGACAAAAGCTTGCACTAAGAACCCACCTTCATTCAACACAAATTAAGTATTATATACAATAATAATAATAGTAATAATAATAATAGTATATACTACAGTATATGATAACACTTATTATAGGTTTATGTTCATGCACTGCATCTGGGTGTTAAGTTGCTTGGGGACCGTCGTTCGTTGTTTCGGGGGAATTAGCGCAGAAGAAGTGTTTTTGACCCTTGCGGACCTCTGAAGAATTGGCTGTTCAGAACTAAGAGAGGGTATAAAACACGTCTTGTTTTTTTGCGCTGTTAGTGGCAACATACGAGACCCAAAGGACTATTTCATAGGTTTGTTTGTCTCGTGAGTGGTGAGTGAACGGCCATGGTAAAAGCTTTGTAGACGTTGTAAACCTTTGTAAATTTGTTTGTAATTCAACAACTCTGTCAACTCTTTGCAAAAGTTGCAAACTTTGTACAAATTCTTAAGACTTTGTGAAAGGTTTGTAAGCGTTGTATAACTTTGTAAATATAAAGCTTTGTAAACGTTCTAAAAACTGTGTAAAACGTTGCGCTAACTTTGAAGAATAATTTGAAGAACTCCAAAACTTCGTAAAAGGTTGGTAAACCTTTTTACAAAGTTTGCGAATTTTACAACGTCTTAATAAAGTTTTACCAAGTCCTTACAAAGTTTTACAAGTTTAAAGGTTGACAAAGCTTACAAAGTTTGACAAAGTTTAAAAGTGTTTTACAAAGTCTACAAAGTGTTGACAAAGTTTACCAAGTTTATACCAAGTTCACTACGTTTTTACAAAGCTTTCAAAGTTGGTACAAAGTTTACACAGATTTTATGAAGTTTGCAAAGTTTTACAACCGCTTACCAAGTTTACAAAGTCTTACAAAGTTTACAATATTTTAACACAGTTTACAAAGTTTTGAACAATTTCCAATTTTTACCCAGTTTACACAGGTTTTACCATTTAAAAATCAATTAAAGACGTATTGAAAGTTTTACAATGTTGCTGCAATGTTGACAAAGTTTTTACAAAGTTTACACAGTTTTGCAAAGTATTGAAAGTTTACAAACCTTGTACAAAGTTTATAAAATGTTTTACAAAGATTGCACATTTTACAATTTTTACATGGCGTCTTTACAAAGTGTACAAACATTTGCAAATTTTACACAGTATTTACATAGTTTACAAAGCTTTCACAAAATTTGCAAAGTTTATACAGTTTACACAGTTTTTGCACAGTATTGAAAGTTTACAACGATTTTACAAAGCTTTGGAATTTGACAAAGTTCTTGCAAAGTTCGGAATTTACACAGTTTTTCAATTTTTACAGAGTCTATCTACAAAGTCTCACAAAGTGTTTACAACATTTTCAAAGTTTTTACAAAGTTTACAAAGTTGTACAACGTTTTTACAAAGTTTACAACAGCTTTTTCAAGTTTACAAAGTTTACAAAGTTTTTACAAAGTTTACAAAGTTTTTACAAAGTTTACACAAGTTTTTCAAGTTTACAAAGTTTTTACACAGTTTACAAGGTTTTTACAAAGTTTTTACAAAGTTTACAAAGTTTTTACAAAGTTTGCCAATGGCTGGTGAAAAACACTTGTGTTTACAACAAATGACATGAAAAACACTTCTTTTTAAGCAAAAAATCGTGCAAAAACACTTCTTTCACAGAACTTTACAAAGTTTTACAAAGTTTTTACAAAGTTTACATCGTTTACACAGTTTTTACAAAGTTTTTACAAAGTTTACAACGTTCTGACAAAGTTTGCGACATTTGCCTTTTGTTACGCAAATTTACAAAGTTTTTACAGAGTTTACAAAGTTTTGAAGATTTTGGAAAGTTTACAAAGATTTTGCCAAGATTACGAAGTCTTGCAAAGTTTACAGAGTTTCGACAAAGTGTACAAAGTTTTGACAACGATTACAAAGTTTTGCTAGTTTATTTATTTGCAAAGTTTACAAAGTTTCTTTCTACATTTTACAAAGTTTTTACAAAGTTTGTACAGTTTCACAATTTGTACAAAGTTTTTAGGAAATTTACAAAGTGTTCAAAGTTTACAAAGTTTTCACAACGTTCACAAGGTCTTTCAACATGTTTACAATGTTTTGACAAAGTTTACGACGTTTAAAAACGTCTTACAAAGTTTGCAAAGTGTTACGAAGTCTATAACGTCTTTTTTAAATAGAGTTTACGAAGGCCTACAACATCTAAAAGTTGTTTACAAAGTTTACAAAATGTTAGTACAAAGTGTACAAAGTTTGCAATGTTTACAAACTTTTTGACAAAGTTCACAAAGTTTTGACAAAGTTTACAAGTGTTTTCAAAGTTTTGACAATGTTTTCGCATTTTACAATTTTTTACACAAAGTTTTCGCAGTTTTTACACAGTTTTACAAAGTGTACAAAGTTTTTACAAAGGTTTACGAAGTTTAAAGTGTTTCAGTGTTTAAAAAGTTTACAATTTTAACAACAGTTTACGAAGTTTTGACAAAGTTTGCAAAGTTTGTTCAATCTTTACACAGTTGTTGCAGAGTTTTGAAAGTTTACAAAGTTTTTAGAATTTCACCAAAGTTTCTACAAAGCTTACACTGCTTTTACACATTTACAAGGTATTTACAAAGTTTACAAAGTATTGACACAGATTGAAAAAGTCCGAAACTTTGTAGAAAGTTTGTAAGCATCAAAAACTTTTGTAAAAGCTTTGTAAAAACGTTCAAACTCAATAACTTGGTAACAACTTTGTAAAATTCCAAAACTTGTTCAAAGCTTGATAAATGTCCAAAGCTTTGTTCAGATATCTAAAGGTTCAATACGTTGTAAAAAATTCGTAGAATTTAATGTACTGTAAGTTTCCAAAGCTTTGTGAAGTTTGTTATTTCTATTTTTAAACTTTGTAGACGTTGTTAAAACGTTGTAATGCAAAAACTCGGTAAAAAAGTTGTAATTCCAAAACTTTGTCAATTTTTTGTAAGGATCCAAAACTTTGTAAACACTTTGTAGGAAGTTTGTTTGAAGACCTGCGAAAGCTGTTCAAGAAGAGCTGATCTTTGGATCAGTGAGACTGCTTGCATTTTTTTGTTAAAAGAAAAACGGCATTTGGTGCTTGCGCTTTGGGAATTTGTGACTGATGGCTGTAGTGCTTCAGGGTATTGAGGGTGAGAAGAAGGGTCGAATGGTTATTGGTTGTGGAAGTGTTTTAAGACTTGGCCACGGAAACACCAAAACACTTCTTTCATTTTTTCCAAACAACATTGGTGCAAAACACTTCTTGCGAGCAAAAACACTAAACTCAAGCAACTTAACACATCTGGGGCCATGTATAGTTCCACGTTCTTCTATCACTCCAGCTCTCTCCCTCCCTCTCTCTCTGACTCTCCCTCTCTCAAAAGCATCGGCCGAAGCAGTGGAGGTGGGACGACTGGGTGGGAGTCAGAAGCCCAAGAGTCGTCCACTTGCTTCTTGTGGACCGCCATGTCAGTCCTCAGTCCGTGGATCGCCATGTTGCTGAGAAGAGCTCGAGAAGCATGCAAACGGGTCGAAGGCGCCAAGCCCGGCAAGAGGTTGGGCCCGTCAAATGCAAATGTGCTGCTTGTGGATACTGACAGCACACCGTCCCAAATCTCAGTTCATGTTTTGTTTGCTGCCCGCCATGAAACCGTGCACTTGAGACAAGTCCAACGATCCCCCAAAGGATCCAAAAGGCAGCTCCATGATTTATCTGGTACGGCTGCTGCGACGCCTGCTGCTGCTACTACTACTCCTCCTGCTGCTGCTGCTGCTACGACGACGACTACTGCTACTATCATCAATATTCTAATCGAAGAACCGACAAAACAAGAATTTGAATTATAACTTTTCACCTGTCACTGTAATTGTGTATACAGGATGTTCATTGATGTTCATCTCCATCCATTTCCTCTTGTTTTCTCGGTTCTCCAAGTCGCGCCACTCACCGCGACTCCTTCCCCGCCACTCCGCCCACCGCTCACTTCCCTCCACCGTCCCAGGCACGCCAGGACGATCTCCACGATGCGACGCCGCAAGGACGTCACGGGTGGCGAGGGCAAGTTGTGGTCCAACATCGAGACGCTCCTCAGTCGGGTCGAACGTCACGCGTCACGAAGGAGTTCGTTCACGACACCGGTGGTTCTTACAAGCTCTAAGAGGTCGGTGCTGGCAGTGAATCCCCCGGGGACCGTCTGTGCCATCTGAAACCACTCTGGCTTCTACTCTACTTCATTCAGATCCGTGGCCAACCCCCGTGGTGTTATTCAGCTCAGCTGTCGAAGGAAGGCACCGAGAAGTTCAGGTGAGCAGCTAGTGATGATCAAAAAGGGCTTACATAAACATAAACCACCACTTAGAGCAGCTTGTTTGCCATATTTCCACCACAAAAACACACCACCAGTTCCCATTATCTCTCAAACAACTCGCGTCCGACGACTCCCTCAACCCGCCACCAACAGAGGTTGAAGAACCCCAAAAGGCTATGGCCATAGGTACCCTGGTAGGGTCCTAGTTCAGGTCACTTAACCTCTGTTGGCATTCCTGGGGCCTACACTGCCCATTCCGTCGTGCCTGGAGCGCATCAGCTCGAAGGCGGTGGCCAAGTGGAAGTTCTCCAGCACTGCCGTGTCGTGGTAGCGCAAGGCCTCAGCGACTACCGGTGTGTGCTCCATTTGGGGAAAACGCTGCGAGGGGTGTGAGAAGTTACGACCGGACTGGATTTGTTTGGAAACATGTGATTTGTTTGGAAACATGTGTTAGTAGCAAACTGCTGTGCGGGATCGAAGGGTTGGGCTTTCTTCAGCATCTTCAGCGGAAGAGTGGAGGGTTTGGGGAGGCAAAACACAGGGATCCGCAGCATGACACTGCATGACAGCTCCGGTCTAGCCGAGTGCTTGATGGACCGTTTTCCACTGCATGCAACTGGCTGTGGGAAGCGGTTCCAAGGACAAAAAGATGTTACATGGAACCTGAGTGACCTCTAGTTTGGACCACCAACAACCCAAAATAGTCTGTTTTCGTGTTTTCCAAACAGGGGGTCAAATGGGCTCTAGAACTATATATTATATTACATATATATATATATTATACATCTTAACTTAGAGCGCCACATCTTTAGATCCCTTGGCAAGGGTTTCACATGGTTTAACCTATAGAGGTGAAGCAAACACCGCTGGAGGGGAGGCACCAAAGGGACGACGGGTCCCCCGGACGGACGGACCAACAGGTGGGATCATGACACTGCCGTGGTCCATCGGTCCATCGGTCCATGTGGTGGAGCAACTTGTGAAGACTTGCTGCATTGGACTTCATCAAAAATCCATAGGCCCACCAATTCCCATCTGACTGTGGTCTGGGGTCAAAAAGGTCCTGAGGCTTACCTGTCCTGAAGCCAAGCATTGTTTCAAGAAAAATAGGGAATGATCAACGGCCAAGCATTCGTCCCACCTGAAGTTAGGCTCTTGTTCGTTCGAATATTCGAGAATATATAATTACCGGAGCACAAAAAGAAAGGATTTCAATAACTTTCACCCAAACCATGGAATTTCATGTAATTTCATGGGATTTCCCCCACAACAACTCACACAGCATGGCCGTCTTTTTGGGGGGAGCAGGCGCCACGTTCCAAACGCCATGTTCAAAGTCAGGCCACGAGTTCCGTCTTGGTCTTCACCAAAAAGTCCTCTGCTGGCGCGCGCGCGCGATGCTGTCGCTGCCAAGGCGAGTGGAAGGAATGTCCGACCACGACTCGACACCAAAGAAAAGGGGAGGCCATCGCTTATAGGTTGGAGGCCACCGCTGTTAGGTTGGAGGCCATCGCTAGTGGGTTGGAGGCCATCCCTAGTATGTTGGAGGCCATTGCTACTAGGTTGGAGGCGATTGCTAGTAGGCTGGGGTCCATCGCTAGTAGGTTGGAGGCCATTGCTAGCAGCTGCTAGATTGGAGGCCATTGCTATTGGTGTGTGTTTTTCTAAGTGTGATGTTGAAGACCTGAACAAGGTGTCGCACTTGATCAAAAAGAGAAGACGGCGATCCAAGGAAGAAATGAAAGGACATGCAAAAAATGGACATGTAATGAGATAAATGGATACGGCCCTATAGCTGCTTGAGCTCCTGAATCCCCCCTTTCAATCGGAAAACATCTGATCAGCTTCAAGGGTCTTCAAAGGAGGCTTCAACTCGGATGTGGCACAACCCGAGTCAGTCATGAAACCACCTTTGGATACCTGCCGTCAGCAAGTCAAGCCGCCAAGCTGTATGAGCTTTCACGGGGTTGCTTCCTCAACAGTCATCATCGCCCCTGTTTTTAGCACTCCTTGATGACCTTCTGGATCTTCACTTCAATTCCTCTTTAGAAGTCCGCGAAACCACAGCAACACCTGGATTCAATCAAACCTTTGGCAGTACAGACCTGACTTCCAAGTATCCTCAAAAATAGCACATGATTATATAGTGATTCACATATTGAAAACCACACACAGGCCCACACCCAACGCTGCGAAAACACTGCGGGTACCTGACCCGACTCCGTCCGTTCCAAGCGGCATTGTTGGTGGCCGGATGCCCAATATCATGGATGGCCGCGGCGAGTAAGACCACCAGGAGATCCACCTGACCGCATCCCAGCGTCTTGACCAGCGGACGGGACCGGCGGAACGTATCGGCCTTGATTGGCCTGCTTTTTCTGCAGGAATTTCCTCCTGTGAGGTTGAGGTGGAGGATTCGAAAGGGGATTCACCTATAGATCCTATAGAGAAAATTCCGTCATTCACCCGTTCCCTTCAGCAAGAACCCATGAGATGTCTGGTGTTCACCCACTGAGTTCGGGTGATGGTCTCAACAAAAAACCACCCAAATCCTGTAGTTCATGGTTTTCTCAAGTTTCTGCGATCCGGATTTCTGCGAAGCCGTCCATGTTTCTGAAGCTTTGGGACCGCCAGCGGAAGCTGCTGCCCGTTTCGGTGCCCGTTTCGGGCACGCGCATGGTGTCAACGTGCCTGCTCGAAATAGCCCTTGAAGGAACCGGCCGAGAGGTAGGACCAAATCTGATAGGTCATCAAGGTGACCTGGCAACGTCCAGTCGAGAGATGATCACCTAAAAATGATAAAAACCATTGTCAAAATGCTCCACTCCCAGGGTGTTGCAGTGCATGAACAGCTCTGTTTCAACCACTCAACCGCAGGTTCGTCAAATAGGTGCCCTGCCGAGTTTCGCGTCCCTCGCAGGACTTAGTTAGAAGAAAACCGATGAAAGGACGTTGTCTCCGACGTCGTCTTTAGGAGGGTGGCACCAGTTCTCTGCAGGTGGACATGGAACTTTGTCATTGGGTACAGTAATTGCAGGGAACATGCTATTCTCATCTGCTCTCCGCACTGCTCTCCAAGAAAACATTGGTTGCCCACACATGGTCTCCGATGCGCGAACTGTGTCTTGCTCCTGGTTGAAGAGAAACAGGCGCTGACAATTGGTATAAAATGGTATACATATACAACAGCCTCACAAATTATGTCAGATGAAGTCAAAAGCTGCATGTTTTCTTCAACGGCATGATGCCGCATTGAACACCCAGCATGTTGCTTTTGTTTTCCTGGACTCAAGTCCAAATTGTTCATGAAGGCCCACATGAACCTGCAGGTGCTGGAAATTGCATGGGAAACTGTCTCATTCTTCCTATCCGAGGCAAAACAACAAACGCAGCGTGGCCCAGCGCACCTCTGCAGCATGTGCATTGTTGTGATAGGGGTTCCTCAGCGACGGCGTCCGCTGGTGTTAAGTCTCAATGGCTTCTCTGCGCGGCTTGCCGTCACTGGAATCATGGAAGTGGGTGGCATGGCCCTGGGAAAATGCAGTTTCCCTCAATTATATATATACAATGATCACAAACAGCTTCCTTTCTCATGCTTTCTCCAGTTCCATGATGTTCCATGGTTATGCTCCAGGAGTGAACGCACACACTTCGACAATTTGTATTCAGTTAGCTCAATTTCTCCGATGGG